CTTCTTGTGAAAATCAATCTCGCAGAAGCCTCTCCCGGGAGCGTGTGCGCGCACAACCTCACGGAAATTTAAGCGATGAGGTCAATGAAAGGTGTTTGAAGCCTGGCCACTGACTGTGGGTACTACAAAGTTGTGCTCTCTCCCCCTAGTACTATGATTGCTTTGGTTCCCAACCTTGACAAAATTGACAGCAAGATATTCTGGACACTGTTCGTGAGCAATTTTATAAACATGATTTAGCTTCAGTTGTTTTACTCTGTCTTCAACATTCAGCATATCCAACTGCTGTAATTCATCCTGGCCTACATGTTCTCTTGGTCCCAGCCCCAGGATGAATCTTACGATTTTGTTCTGGGTGATTTGCAGTCTATCTTTCAGTTTTTTTGTCAAGGCAGAGTACCAAGAAGAGCAAGCGTAATCCATATGGCATTGTATAAGGGCTAGACATAGGGTCCTGCGAGCCTCAGTAGGTAGACACTGTGCTTGTCTATACAGGAACTTCAGCCTGGCATTCGCTTTCTTTACTAAACTGTTCCCTATCAATTCTCCTGACATGCATGGGTCAAAGGGGATTCCCAGATATTTAACTGATGAAACCAAAGTGATGGACTCCCCATTACACTGAACATTAAAATTATTTACCCTTCTCAGTTTATGTTTCGTTCCAAAGAGAATGGCTTCAGTTTTCCCTGGGTGTAATGATAGTTTGTTGTCTACTAACCATTTGCTGCAGGACTCCAGTTCCAGTTTTTAAAACATTAGCAATATCTTGTGGGTCTTTACCTGTCACTAACAGAGCACTGTCATCTGCATACAGTAGGAGTTTGCACTTGACACTGATAGGCATATCATTGACATAACATAAGAATAGTAAGGGACCCAGAATACTACCTTGGGGAACTCCACATGTTATCGGCAGGGGTTCTGATTCCGTTTTGTTGATTTTGACTATTTGTCTCCTGTTGCTAAGGTAGGACTTAAACCAGTCTACAGAACCTATACCGATAGCTTGAAGTTTCTTACATAATATATTGTGGTTGACGGTATCGAAGGCCTTTTGCAGGTCTAAGGTTACCATACCTATGAGGTTCCCTTTTGACATTTCAGTTCTCAGGTAATCCATCAGATTAATAAGGGAGGTATCGGTTGAGTACCTGTAGCTGTCCCTGTTCACCTAGCAGTAAAATAGGTACTGGGTGTTAGTTGACTGGTGTGGGTCGCATCCTGGGGACAAAATTGACCTAATTTGCCCGAAATGCTGAAACAAGTATAAAGATACTTGTTTCAAGAATTTGGTTCTTATTTCCATACACAAGTGTTGAAAATATGAAGCTGATTGGATGGGACTTTCTTGAGGTATGAGCAAAATAAAATCTGAAAATTGGAGGAAGGAAAAAAAATAAAATTAGGCAATCTCTTGAAGGTGCTCCTGGGATACCCAGTGAGAATAAACAAGTACGATTGATCTCAAAGTGACGGGAAATGAAGGAATACAAAAATATGACAATCTTCAGTGGTAATCCATTGTTTTTGTTTGAAATTTGTGAATCCGCTTTTAAGCTATTACCTACAATAGTTTTGCAGCACCTCATGCTGATATATTCTTCTTACAAAACAAGTAAATGAATAATGTACCTTATTTCTACGTATTATTATTATTACAATCAAAATTAATCGATAAACCCACAAGGGTCATACAGCTACACATTAGGACGCGTTTCCTTAAGGCACCTGCTGTCCCTGTTCACCTAGCAGTAAAATAGGTACTGGGTGTTAGTTGACTGGTGTGGGTCGCATCCTGGGGACAAAATTGACCTAATTTGCCCGAAATACTGTGTATAACAAGGGGCTTTCTATATAGTATGTGACTGATGTTAGCTAGGTATGTATATGTTGTACATGTACTTGCAGAAATAAAGATTATTATTATACATTGAATTTACAAAATTGGATGAAGTTTAAAGAATACATGTAGAAAGCTGCGAGTTATGCAGAGCATTTCGGGCACTTTATTTATCGGGTAGAAATGAAATTTCATAAAAACAGTATACTATTCCTTTTAAAAAGAAACTAGTATTCTTCATTTTCCATTTAAATGGTGCGCCAATAATGTTCCGCCCTTGTTGTCAAGTGACTTCACATAATCGAGTTGCCCGCCCGGTTGTTGTTATTAAATAATAAGACTCATTTTCTGGCTTATAAGTAACGCCACAATAATTACAATACATATAATTTAGATAAATAAAGATTGTGCAATTTTTTCTCATTGATTTATACGTAATATAAACAATAATAATGATAATCTCTGCGTCTGTTATTCAATAGACATTGATAATATTTCACCAAGTGTAGTCAAAACCTCTTAATGAACAAGTAAATATTATTCAGATTCCCTTTTGCTGTACTGGAATGCATGTAACATACCTTAGTACAAGGGAGCTGATTAGGTTTTGTTTTGCGAGTTCCACTTCAGCTTATTTTGTCTATAGCCCGCCCAGGCGGTCAAGGAAAGTTTGGAACGAGTAAGGTCGGAGCAAACATGGAGGACATGGGAAAAATCACATAGTGTTTCGGTGGAGATCTGACCCACTTTTCCTAATGTTGGACTTAGATAAATTACCGATACACTCACTAGGTGGTTGTAGAAGGTGTATGCGAAAGCTTCAAACAAATTTGAAGCTTTCGATGCCGTTTTAATGGCACTATGAACCTAGACTCGCTAACTGCTGCTTTGTCTCATATTGGTAATCTGGTCGCCAGTTTGACAAAGAAAAACCTGAACTCTAGTGTTCAAGAGATTCAGGAAGTAAGTGCTTTTTCGTTTATTGTGTGTTACAAGTGAAAGTGCTCTATAAGGGACTAGATATATGTATGGTGTTTTGTGATCAGCTGTGCTGCGTCGTCTCCTTCACTACAGCAGCTGGATAACACAGCTGCCGTCACCGCTGCCGCTCCCATCGCCACCATACCACACTACATCTCAGCCATGATTATTTTAATTGCACCTACTGTCTTTCCAATATTTGATTCCCCCCGGGATGGTTCCTCGATGCCGGTGAAGGGCTCTTGATGCAAGGAATTGCCGACCGGTCCTCCTCTTCCATGGATCAAAGTCGATTGCTTTCTCAGGCACTCTGTGGCCCCTACGGGTTTAGAGCTTCCCCAAGTATTAAATTTAATAGTAATAGTAATATAATTGTTTTTTTTTTTTGGGGGGGGGGGCTTTTGGTGGCATAATTTCATTTCAGTATATTTTTGCACTAACTTGGTTTATGTAGCAAAGCTTCAAGGTGTTGGGTAATTGCATTTTTTCTTTCAGGTTAATGTATGTTATGCTTCAACATTTACTTACTGCATAATGCCAGAATTAGTTTATGACAAGATTTAAGTTGGTATCTAAAGTAATATACAAGAAAGTAGAGCCTCGAGGAAGACATGAATAATTTTCCCTCGGCCTGATTAGGTAATTATTGCTAAATTTGAGTAATTTTAAGTAGATAGGGTTGTGTACAAATGTTAATTTTGATTACATCAGTAGGAAAACTAATGTTTGTAGTGAAAATGTTTATTTATGAGGTGGTCCCCAACCATTTTATACACGAAAACTGTTGGGAACTTAAAGGAAAGGCAGCAAGGGCTAAATTTAACAAACTTACCTAAATTTATATAAAATTGTTCAAATTCAAATTTTTATTTCTGCATAGTTTACAATGTGTGACTGACATGTTATAAGGAGTCTCTTTCCATGCATAGTTTACAGTATATAATTACAATATTGATTTGCTATGCAAAGAAAGCCACTATCATGCCGAGGCATTTCGGGAAGACTAAGCCTAATGTTATATCAACAGAGTATGTAGTGGTTTAGCGGTAATTAAATTAACAAGTAGTTGAGTAACAAGTTACAGTATTATATTTTAGCACATTATACAGGTCTCCCTCAACATTTGCGTTTTCCACTTTCGTAGGCTTCGAACATTTGCGAATTCCCAGCCGCCCAATCATATTTAAAATATGTCATTATGTGTTAGGAATTGTGGTGGTGGCAGAGTTTGTTTGGAGATAGGACAAGATAGTCCTTCAATATGACACTAATATCAACTCTGCAGCTTATTTATCCATCACAATTCATCTAATATGACATTATAAACAATATTAATAACATAGAAACATGACACATGCTCTAGAATGAATAAAATACATCATTAAGTGTTGTTGTGTTGGTGTTGTTGGGTGTATAACCCCTTGACTGTCGCAACCCCAAATCCTGAGGTGTCTCCTGGCGTCACAAAATTTCCAAAAAAAAAAAAAAATTCTTACAAAATGATAGAGAATCTTTTCCCGATTGTAGTGATGCCAAAAGAACGAAATTTGATGGAAAACTGACGGAATTACGCTCTCGCGAAGTTGGCGACCTCGGCGATATTTATGAATCGGTGATTTCGCCCACTTTGTGACCTATTTTCGGCTAATTCTATTGTTCCAGTCGACCAAAGAAATAGCTATTTCTTTAGAACTCCATTTTTTTTCTATTGGTTGAGTACAAGAAACTGCCCATTTAAAGATTTCAACAACCCAATAACGTGGTCAGAAATTTGCAATTTGGCCAATTTCACAAAAATTAAAAAATATGACTATTTCAAAATAGGGTCCAGAATGAATAATGCACACATTCCTGGCTCTAAAATAACATTTTCTTTGTTCATCAGTCACGTCTTCAGGCCCCTCTGATATTACTCTTGCTTTCTATTTTGAATTTTTATTAAAATAAAAAATAGAAGATTGACTGTTATGCAGACAACTGCAACATTGTAATAATTGTATAAATAATGTCAACCCATTCATGACTGCATATTAGAATGGCTACTTGGACATTTATTGGAAAATGACATCATTTGTTTACTTTCGAACATTGGCAAAAATCAAACATTTCCCCTACTTTGAGCTCCATTTCAAGGTTCTTATCTTAGTAAAACCAGTCAAAATCACCTCTATTTCTATAATGTGTTTTCCATTCTATCAAATGAGACCAAGAAAACGAGAATACAACCATAAATACTGTATGAAAATAGACCACAAAGTCAGCATTTTAATTAAAAAAAAAACGGTCGGAGTTTTTTTTTTCTCATGCACTGCGTGCTGCAGGATTTTTTTTATATGGTGCACACTGACCACACAGACCCATTCTCTCACATGTGGGCCTACCAGCTTTCTCCTGCTTGATTTGAAGCTGCTAGAATTTGTGTACATGTATATATACGTCAAAAAGGGTGGCTCGTAAGACGTATATATACGACCAAAACAGTCGAAGGGTTAAGGGCCACTGAGACATTAGCCTTACATAGTGGTGGTGGAGGCGGTAGAGACTAGAGACAGCGGTGTTGTCAGTCGCTCTATATAATGCCAACAACAATTGAGGAGTTAGGTTTGTGCTGTTCCTTTTCTATCGATTAATCATTTAGCTTACTTGCTACACTGTTAATGCTACACTTTATTGCTGGCTGGCGCTATAGCCTTTATTGACTCGTGCTGCTGTAGTATCATACATATCATAGAATCACTGAAGAAGGTACATTCTCCCCTCTCTGTTCCTCCTCCACTTTGGTACTCTGCTATGAGTTTTCTTGAATTCTATAGTCATTCTCAACTTCTTTACCAAAGGGCTAGCACTAGTACAGTATTTTATGATGTTTTCATGTCTTTTATGATTGATCATGGTTCAGTAGGTTAAGGAAGCAGTATTGTTAGGCCGAGTAAATGCTATTATTATATTTTCCTACAATATATTTGTGCAGCTGGAACTAACGGGATCATGACAGAAATGTTAAAAGCAGGGGAGGGGGATATAGTGTTGGAGTGGTTGGTATTTTTTGTTTAATAAATGTATGAAAGAGGGGAAAGTACCTAGGGATTCGCAGAGAGCATGTATAATTCCTTTATATAAAGGGAAGGGGGACGAAAGAGATTGTAAAAATTATAGAGGAATAAGTTTACTGAGTATGCCAGGAAAAGTGTATGGTAGGGTTATTATTGAAAGAATTAGAGGTAAGACAATGTAGGATTGCAGATGAGTAAGGAGGTTTTAGAGTGGGTAGGGGATGAGTAGATCAAGTGTTTACATTGAAGCATATATGTGAACAGTATTTAGATAAAGGTGGGGAAGTTTTCACTGCATTTATGGATTTAGAAAAGGCATATGATAGAGTGGAGAGGAGAACAGTGTGGCAGATGTTGCAAGTATGTGGAATAGGTAGTAAGTTACTAAATGCTGTAAAGAGTTTTTATGAGGATAGTGAGACTCAGGTTAGGGTGTGTAGAAGAGAGGGAGACTACTTCCTGATAAAAGTAGGTCTTAGACAGGGATGTGTAATGTCACCATGGTTGTTTAATATATTTATAGATGGGATTGTAAAAGAAGTAAATGCTAGGGTGTTTGGGGGAGGGGTGGGATTAAATTATGGGGAATTATATACAAAATGGGAATTGTCACAGTTACTTCTTGCTGATGATACTGTGCTTATGGGAGATTCTAAAGAAAAGTTGCAAAGGTTAGTGTGTAAAGGTAGAAAGTTGAAAGTGAACATAGAAAAGAGTAAGGCGATGAGGGTATCAAATGATTTAGATAAAGAAAAATTGGATATCAAATTGGAGAAGAGTATGGAAGAAGTGAATATTTTCAGATATTTGGGAGTCGATGTGTCAGCGGATGGATTTATGAAGGATGAGGTTAACCATAGAATTGATGAAGGAAAAAGGGTGAGTGGTGCATTGAGGTATATATGGAGACAAAAAACGTTATCTATGGAGGCAAAGAAGGGAATGTATGAAAGTATAGTGGTACCAACACTTACATGGCTGTGAAGCTTGGGTTGTAAATGCTGCAGCGAGCAGGCGGTTGGAGGCAGTGGAGATGTCCTGTCTAAGGGCAATGTGTGGTGTAAGTATTATGCAGAGAATTCGGAGTGCGGAAATTAGGAGGTGTGGAGTTAATATTAGTCAGAGGGCTGAAGAGGGGTTGTTGAGGTGGTTTGGTCATTTAGAGAGAATGGATCAAAGTAGAATGACATGGAGAGCGTATAAATCTGTAGGGGAAGGAAGGCGGGGTAGGGGTTGTCCTCAAAAAGGTTGGACGGAGGGGATAAAGGAGGTTTTGTGGGCGAGAGGCTTGGACTTCCAGCAAGCGTGTGTGATTGTGTTAGATAGGAGTGAATGGAGACAAATGGTATTTGGGACCTGACAAGCTGTTGGAGTGTGAGCAGGGTAATATTTAGTGAAGGGATTCAGGGAAACTGGTTATTTTTAAATAGTCCGACTTGAGTACTGGAAATGGGAAGTACAGTGCCTGCACTTTAAAGGAGGGGTTTTGGGATATTGGCAGTTTGGAGGGATATGTTATATATCTTTATATATGCTTCTAAACTGTTGTATTCTGGGCACCTCTGCAAAAACAGTGATTATGTATGAGTGAGGTAAAAGTGTTGAATGATGATTAAAGTATTTTCTTTTTGGGGATTTTCTTTCTTTTTGGGTCACCCTGCTTCGGTGGGAGACGGCCGACATGTTGGGAAAAAAAAATATTTGTGCACCAAACATTCACAGTTTTTCAGCATTTGCAAGGTTCTTGATCCCCTAACCCTCTTGAATATGGAGGGAGACCTGTACATAATGAGATTGAGACCATTTTAGTTTTGAAATAATCTTATAAAATTTGGCAAATTTTGGGTTGATGGTGGCGATAGTATAGTATAGTGTTTTAGATTTGGGAGATGAGGCGAGTTCAGAAATTAGTGCTTACACTTTTGGTACAGAATGAGTCACATGCAAGTCATGTGTAGATTATATAACCTATTCCCTAATAAAGTAATTTTTCCTCCATTATTTGTGATGGGGGAGGGGAAGTTTTTAGTCTGATCATTATGCAAAATGATGTATAGTTCCAGGTAGTATGGATGAGCAAGTCTTCTGCTACCAATTCACCAGACAGTAACTAAGAATGCTGGCTTTCTCAAGTCACTGATTAGTCGGGAGGTCTCCAGTATTTTTACACTGAGAGAGAGTTCTCAAGTACTGTAAGTTGAGAAACTATTGCCAAGCACTCTTACCAATAGTTTCCAAAGAAGGGATGGGTTGGAAAAATTAATGCATTTATACACACACAACTTATCTGTATTTTAACTCTTTCAGGGTTTCGGATGTACTAGTACGGCTTAGGCACCAGGGTTTTTGACGTACTAGTACGCCTAAATTCTAACGCCCTCAGATCTAGTGAGAGAAAGCTGGTAGGCCTACATATGAAAGAATGCATCTATGTGGTCAGTGTGCGCAGTATAAAAAAATCCTGCAGCACACAGTGCGTAATGAGAAAAAAAAACTTGAACCGTGTTTTTGGATTAAAACAGCAACTTTGCACTGTATTTTCGTATGGTATTTATTGTTGTATTCTAGTTTTCCTGGTCTCATTTT